ATGAAAAATTGATGAATTTTAGATGAATAATGATGTCTCGATGTTGTTTAATCGATGTAGAGTTATATGATAATTGTAAGTGATGATTATCCATGGTTAGATTAAGTTTTTAGGGCTTTAAGTATGGAACCCGTAGTGAAAACACAGAGAAAATCGCAGAATTTATGCAGGATGGAACATGATATGTCGACCTCAAACATGATGTGTCGATACATGAAGGTTTAGAGACTCAGTATGAGTCGACACGAAGAGGCTTGCGTCGATCCATGAGGATTTCCAGACTCAGGATGAGTCGATACGTAGGATGCATGTGTCGATACATGCTGTATGTAAGACTCAGGATGAGTCGATCCAAGATAAGATGCGTCGACTCATGTTGCGAGTTTAGTGTAGTACACGTCGATCCAAGACGTTTTGCGTCGACCCATATTGTCTGATTTTTGGCAGATTCAGTTCGAAAATGTTGTAACTTGAGTTTTAGGATGTCGTTTGAGATGTCGTTTGAAGCGTTGAATAGCTAACGCGATGAGCTTTATTCTTGAGGAATAAAAATGAAGAATAGGAAGTGTAATTCTAGTAGCCAATTAGGACTAGAGTTAATTCCCGTGTTAATCGCTATGTTAGTTTTATGCAGAATGATGAGGACGAAATGTTTAGAGGCTGCTGTTTGATTTGTAACAGTAGGAGTAATGACAGTAATGATGTAAGATTACAGAATAGCAGTAAGAGTTACTGTAGTATTAATGTACCGCTGATTTGTTGATGAGATGTTATTAAAGAAGTTATGTTTGATAATTTATGATGAATAAATGATATTTGATGAATAAATGACGTTTGATGAATTATTATGATGATATGAGATGTTGTTGAAGAGATGTTGAGATGCTTTTGAGATGTAGGCCTTTGGCCAACCATGGTGTTGTATTGAGATGTTGTCAATTATGGTGTTGTTATTACATTCATGATTGTGTCGCATACATTGCATTTTGAGATGGAGCTTATGCTCGTTGAGATTACCTGTATTGGCGAATTTTGAGATGAAGGCTTATGCCTTGTTGATGCCTCTATTAATTGGCAATTTTTGAGATGGGAGTTATGCTCCAATGGTACCACATGCATTTGCATAGTATTGAGTCGCATTATATGATTGCATGAAGAAGTGTGTATTGATGTTGTGATTGTGTATTATTGTTGTGATTATTGTTGATTATGAGATGAGAAGTGGCGATGTTATGTGATCTAATTTAATATATTAATTATCATGCGCTTTATTATATTGTTAGATATCTCACCCCTTCTGTTTGAATATTGTCCTTATGTCGGTAACGTGCAGGTAATCGAGAGTGAAGGTTGTATATCTTCAATAGTTCGAGTTAGTGTTATTGCTCTGATATGTAACACTCGGGGGGAGGGGGGGTGAACGCTTGCTGTTTTTGATTGTTGATTTTTCAGTTGTTGAATTTTAAGTTGATTATTATTAAATATGTGTTATTTTGAAGTTGTTGCAACGATGATAAAGATGTTATTAAGAATTCCGCTGCGTAGTTGTTGAATTATTTAATTAAAAGATGTTATGATGATGGTTCATCCGATGTTTTAAAAGTGTTATATATCCACGATGAATGCAATGAATTTTTGATAGAAGAATTTGTGGCATCCCGATTCGTTTGCATGAATGATTTTTATAACTCTGATTTATTTATATAATTTTTCGGGGTAGAATTGAGGTGTTACACATTCAACTAACCTCTAACTTATAATTCATTAACAATTGACTTTACTTTGTGATTTTACTTTATGCCCTTTATTTTATGCCTTTACTTTTATGCACCATTTACTTTAGCATTTATATTTCATGCTATTTTTATCTTTGCTCACTTGAGCATTTATATTTATGTCATTTCATCTTTGCTCACTTGAGCTTTATTTTCTTTTGAAAACACTTAATAATCAACTTGAATATTAAAAGCCTTAAGGTTACTTGAACTATTTGGTTACTATCCTTGGCATTGTGGAGTTGTGGATCTCTTGGACTTAGGATTAGAAGCCTTGATACCCTTGGGACCTTGTGACTCTGTTGTTATTTTGTCTGGAGTTCTTGGAGTTTACCCCAAGATATTGGGTTGATCTCCTTTGTGTGAAGGTTATTCTGATTATGTATTTTGTCTGTGATTGAGAATTCCTCTGTATTCAGCTATTATTTTGCCCAATTTTTGTGAAGACTTAATTCATTTGAAGCTTGGTATTCCTAAGAGGTTTAGTATTTTTGCTTGCTTGGTTTTAATCCAAAGGATGAGAATTCTACATTGAATCTTTATGTCAAGTGTTGGCTTCTTGTTGGTTAGATCGTTCTTTTCCTTAATTTTTATCTTATGCTTTAGGATAGTCCCCTCATCTCCTCCTATCTTCTTTAATTTCAAAAATATTCTCCCTCCTTTTCAAAACTCTTATTGTTTTCTAACTTGAACCACTTTCATAATAAACTTGGACTTAGGTCCATGCATTTTCAAAAATCCTTTCTTAATCAATATTAATCATACTTTTACATTTTTTTATGAGAAGACAAAAAGTCAATCAAACTCATTCAAACCATTTTGCCACTTTGGCTTTTTGATTTAAATCTTTTCTCAAAAGATTAGACTCTTGTCGATTCTTGTAGTGATGTGAGCTACTA